TCTGCAAAACCTTTAAAGAGTTTATTTTTTCTGGACTTGATCTGACATGTCTGTAGCAAAGACTCACCAATAATTGAATTGTATCAACAATTCAGAGAGGATCACTTGAAGTTCTCTGGTTGCTAGACTTGGCATTTCTACAACTATGGTATTTATTTCTGCTTTACTGAAATTGCAAAACAATTACCAAAATCTTCAAGTTATTATATTATAGAATATAGAAAGAATTAGAAATAATATAGAAAATAATTTTATGTCACTGCATTCAAATATTTATAGGTTTAATAAAGTAGTCAAAGTGCTTGATTTGGCTAATAAAAGATTAACAACTGCAAAAATAGATTGCTTTTTTTGGGATTGATTTTTTTAATAAAAGGAACTAGGCATCCTAGCAGAGTGAAGAGTTACAATAATGTGATTGCTAAGAACTACGTGGTATAGCTTAGTAAATCATTTAGTAAACTGGGAGTACAAATGCCTTATTCCTGCCCGAGTGGAGAAGGAATAGTGTTGTTGAGAACATGGTATTTTTAGGTAAGAGTAAGGGCACATTCTTCTCAGGAACAAAAAAGGAAACATGGGAGGGAAAGCTAAAATTCACTGGAATTATTCCACAAAGTGACTCAAGAACTCTGGCTTACTTGAGATGCTGCAAGAGAAGCAATGTAGTCCACATGATAGGCTTGCAGGCTCTCCAGACAGTCCCCAGTAACAGCTGCTTGCCAGAAGACAGGCAGGAAAATTATTCTGTGTTTACTTAAATGTTCCAAATTCCGACTCATACATTGGCAGTTTTCCCTTTTATCTTCTGCATCTGCAGTTAGTCTGAACTTTGGATGTTTGGATGGCCGCCTCTAACATGCATTTGCAGCGTGGTTGCACACATTTCCATGCTCTGGGGCAATGGAAATCTACAAAACTCTTGAATGTTGACACCACGCTCCTCCTATTTTAGCCCTTTGTAATGGGGCCATTACAGCTTCTACAACTACAACTTCAACAGCCACAACTTCCACAGAGGTATTTCTAAAAATGCCACAGCCAATTCTTTGTACTGCCTGAAAGCTGACTTGATTTTATGGCTGTCTTAGGAACATTTTGTTTTGTGGACCAAAGCAGCATACTTCCAGCATTTCTACTTCAACAGAATCACTTTTGATTTGCTACTTTACCACAACATCTCAATGACTGGAGAGAGGACAGAGAAGCAGAAAAGGGATCCCAAAAATGCTAGCCCTTTATTTGTATTTGATAAATATAGCTGTTTAGAGACACAGATGGAATTTCCCAGCCTAGAAATTTAAAAGATAGGAAGGAGTGACTTCTCTTGATAAGATTTGCTTTGGGGGTACAAAGAGCGCACATCCCACCTTTCTCTTGTCACTTGAGCACATACTCACTGGCAAGACTGGTGAGTGGTAGGGAAGAAAATAAGAAAACACAAGTCAAATAAAAACTGAAAGCAGTAAAACTTTACAATCTTGCTTTGACAATTCCAACTATTGTCCCACAGATCCACAACTTCAAAAAGCTTATACAAAATAATTACTAGAAAAATATCCTACAACTCAGAGAAGCAAAATGTTTATAGATTGAAGACCAAAAAAAGAGTTTCATTGCACAGGTAACAATGACTGGCCTATGGCCAGGATAACATTCTGGACAAAAGGTGCACTATGTGTCTTATTTTAACTCAGAAAAAGCTCTTTCTAGGTGGAGAATAAGTAAAAATCATTTATTGGTAGAGTCTTGCTCCACAGTCACAATTTGCAATTTGCAAAATCAAATTAAAATTAATTTGACCTTTTCTATTAATATTCTCAATAGCAAAGGTGAAATGGTTCTATTGCTTAGGCATGGAACTCAGTATCAAAAAGAGTAAAAGGATCATCCTGGTTTGTTTGTGCCGTTCAAATTAATTACTTGAACTCCTTTTTCTGGATTACTCCTGGTAAGATAACTCTACAGAGGTATTTCTAAAGCTTCCACAACAGTCAGTTAAATTAGCTGCCAGAACAAAACTGACTGGACAATCTCAGCACTTTTGTTTGTTTATAAAATGAACAGCCACCAGGTTTCTGAAAAACTCATCCAAATGCTTTAAGAGATACTGTAACTTATCTGGAATATCCAGGTCTAAGGCTTAGATCTTAAATAACTTGTCCAGTATAGAAAAAAGACAAAGTTGTAGCTGGTAAAAGACTAATCTTATTCTAAGTACAGCTCTGACAAGCCAGTTATTGGTCACTTGAAATTAGAAACACTTCCTGTATTAAAAATTTACATCAGAAGCACAAAATAATGGCCTATGGTGACATGGTGTGTTGCTTTGATAAGCATTTATGTACACTTACGTGTAGGCTGCTGCTCTCAAAATGTATGAATGGTACAGAATGATGCCAGCAGTTGCCAAGTACCATACGTGTAATACTGGCAGGAATCCATTGCTACCTCTTCAAAATAATCTGTGAATCTTTGTCTGTTTCATAGGTCTTATTTTGTCTGTCTACTTTGAAGTTCTTCCAGGTCTGAAGTCACAGTTATCCTACATCTGACAATGCAGCAATCCAAAAAAAGAAGTGCATGTTATATCATGTCCCAACAGAACTGCTAAGAGGGAATATACACTGACAGAGCTGATAACGTACTGGAAAGATATCATTGTCCCTAGGAAGCTCTGGAAAAGAGTAGAGATTATGAACTGCTGTAGAACCTATCCACAGTAATGATTAACAAAACCAGGTGTTTATTGCATTCTTGCAAGGACACTTAAAGTCCCATACAGGGTACTTTCCTTTTTATGTGGGGGGTTATTTTCCAAACAGATTATCAAGTGCATCATTCAGCCCTCAGCAGTCAACTGTATCATGTTGAGAGCCCACCCCAAGTAAACATGAAATCCCCTCAGACATCGTAGCTGTGCTAAGGATTGCTTCTGATTCTGCACCAATCTGATATTTGCACCAGGCAGGCATGAAGAGGTGGAAGAACAGAAAATGTAGAGAAATACAGGCCAGAGTTACTAATAGTGCTGCCTGAAATCTCTTCTGCATTACAGATGTTCTGTAAAGAACATTTCACTTTGTCTAACAAATAATTTTGCACTTTGTTCTGGTTTGATTTATTTAACAATCTCTAAGCCTTAGAAGTTCTTCAATTATATTTTTTTTAATTGTTCATCATTACTTGTTAAAGTAGGCTTCATATTCAGCTCAATGGAATTTTGTGTCTGATCTTGTTATTTGCTGCTTTAGCAGGGTAAACCAGTTTGAGCTATAGGAATTCACAAAATCTTCTGAGAGATACAGTATAGTTTAAGTAAAATCCACTTCAGTAGAAGATTCCTAAATGGGACTGTTGGGATACTGGATGTAATTAAAGTTTGTTGAAATCAGGGGGAACTGGAAGCATTCTGCAATTGGGAGATTTAGGTTCATAGGAGGCAAATTAAAATAAACATTTATGTCAGTTTTTATGCTTTACAGAGACAAAAGTAAAATTTTTCTGACCATAATATTAAGATGATCTGTATGTCTCATAAGCTAATGACAATCTGGCACCCTGGCAAGATTATGCATGAGTGCATTCATCAGAAGATTTAGGGCTTGGATCTTCTCTTAGATGCTATGACTTGTGAAATTTAACAATACAAGTGTTCTACTTGCCATTGTGAGGAAAATGAGTAACCAGTTAAATCCTGAGGGCAGGTCACACCAAATCCATTCAAACTAAAGCTAAATGTCTTTATACAAGTGCTGCTCAAGCCAAGCTTTTCTTTAAAATGTCAGGGTGTATTTTTAGGGGATTAAGGACAATAATGAAGAAATATATTTGCATCCCACTTCAATCTGGCTTGGTCTTCATGTCTCTATGTAGATATTTCCAACACTTTAGTAAGTACAATGTTTGAATTGGCAGTATTCTACCGAAACTATTTTAAGTTTCATAAAACCATTTCCTTTCATTTTCTAGGCCTCAGTTTAAGTGTGATACCAGAGAGATCAAATGCTAGCCAGAGTACATAGAATTTTTTTTAGAATCTCAATCAAATAACAAACTTCTGATTCATATGGAGTTCAACACTATATATATTTTTAAAGTAAGCAAATCAAATAGCAGAAAATTAGTGTTGAATATATGTTTGGGCATATCCTCCTACCACATTTGACAGGGTTCAGAGGCAGCTGAATGTTCTACACCAAAACAAAAAGTAACTGCTGACTATGTGACTTGACCAAGCTGGTCTAATCAATCATGTTATATTTTTGGCAGGTCTATTGTCTCTTTAGCAAGTCTGGGGTTTTTTTTCTTCTTCTGTTTTCCTCTCTAACCTTCCTATAATGGGCCTTTCCATACCTATTGGAATTTTCTGTTTATGCATTCCCTTTCTTTGCTAGTGGACGTTTGATATATTTGTGCTATTCAACAAAACAATGTCCACACCTTCCTGCACACTTAGGCCAGGCTCCACATATGTAACTGGTTAGTATCTGTACCATATCTGGAGCATTCAATGAATCCAGTGAGAAGGGGGCGATCATGACGGCAAGACTGTGCTCCAGGTAAGTACATCAGTGTCTTTAAGTGCGCTTCTCCTCCTCTGCATTTTCTGTGCGCGCTGTCTCTTCCTCATAACACCACTCCTACTTTATCTGTAAGTGCTTATGGCTGTGCTGGCTTATCTTTCTGGCGGGTCTGTGAACTCCCCAACCTCCACAACAGCCTCTCGGCACAAAACTCGTGACCACCGGCTCCCTTCCTTGGCTGCCGGGGGGAGCGCAGTCGAACCGTCACCATGGCAGGGCACAGGCTGACACAGAACATTACTTTCTAAGGCGGAGTTCTTACTGCGACGGGACGCTCACAGAAGGCAGGGTGGAGGGGCGCGGAGGATCCCGGAGTGCCGCCCTGCTCCCGCCCCTACTGCGTCCATCTCGTTCTGTCCCGTCCTGTCCCCTCCCGTGCCCGCCGAGTCCGAGCCCGGCCCCACCCGTCCCGCCCCTCCTCCGCGGCACTCTCTGCAGGGCACGGGACTCGAAAGATGGAGGACTACGGGCGATTCTTGGCGTTCCTGGCCTCTTCGCTGCTGGTCGGCTTCGTGTCGGTCATCCTCTCCCTCGTCTGGGTCTTTCACTACCGCGAGGGGCTGAGCTGGGACGGCGGCCCGGCGGAATTCAACTGGCACCCCGTCCTCATCATCACGGGCTTCGTCTTCATCCAGGGCATCGGTGCGTCGGGGCCCGGGTCGGCGCGGGGCTGCGGGGGAGCCGGGCCTGCCTGGGGCCGGGGTGGCGCGGCCGGGGCTCCGCGGCGCGGGAGGCTCCGGGCCGAGCCGCAGGGACAGCCCCCGGCCGGGAGCGCAGCAGTCGCTCCGCAGTGCAGGGAAGCCAGCGCTCCCGGGAAGGGACAAAGAGTGCCTTGTAATAAGCCAAAATTGCTACATATGGGGTTTGGGTTGTTTTGGGGTTTTTTTTTCTGCAAGCACTTGTTTATCCTGGCCCGGGGATTGCCGTGTACTTTGAGTAATGCCTGCGAGGTGTGTTTTTTCTAGGCAGCTGGAATTTGTGCAAGTTGAAAATCGAAATGCCAGAAATGTTGCCCTAGGAAAGTTTCTCTTCTGCCTCTCTTCCATGTCCCAACAAGAGAAAGGAAAGTTCAGTACCACAGAAGCTTGATCCAGGAACAGGGTTTTTGCCAGAAAAAATGTAGCACCACAAGCATTATTAAAATGCAGTTTTCTTCAGGCTAGACTTATGGTGAATTGTTTTGTGAAGCATATCTCTTTAATAAATCATTTATTCTGATGCTTAAATAACATACAATCTTCAAGATACAGGGTTGCTTCTTCTTTTTTCTTTTTTTTAATTTTTAATTTCTTTATGAATGTATGGACTTTGGATTTCATAGTGTTCAGTCATGGACTAACATTTTCCCATTGCACTTCCAGCCAGTCAAAAGGCTGGAAGATGCCAAAGGGTGTCTTGTTCTGGCTATGAAGAGAATGTTGTGATTTGAACATACACTGTAAAGTTTTGGTTTTGAGTGGGAGTGGGACTGTTCTCAGCCTTCTTGTGGCTTCAAGCTACAAACCAGTATTGAGCAATAAACAATATTTTAAAGTTGTTTTACATAATATTGTGCAACAGGAAATGTAATTTCAGGCTATAAATAAGCAATGAAAACCACCTGTTGACTTCACTAAGATCTATACTACTTAATGTGCTCAAACTATTTTTTTTTTAATAAATAAGCATAGAACTTTTGAAGAAAATTAGGAGAGGCTTTCTGCAGCTTTTTCCTATGTATTTTCTATTTTATTTCCTCTGAAACTCAGTTTTTTCCCTGTGTCACAGAGAAAGGGTGTTGTCCCAAGCCCTGTTTTGGTAAGGATATACATACAGTAAATGGAAGTTTACCATAGCTAAGAAACCACACGCATACAAGGAATTCACTAATAACACAGCATAATTTAGGGAGGAACTCCTATCACATAATAGGAAAAGCAAAGTTGGAGACTGAAGAGGTATTGTAGTAAATCAGATGAAATACCAACAGATAAGATACCACTGTGAATCTGATTCAAATTTGGCTGATGGAAGTCTGCCACTGAATTCACAGCAATTTGGATGAGAGTGAGAAATCAGATAGCTCTTTGGACACATACAAGAAAGATAAGTAGTTGAAAGAAGGAAGGTGTAGCTAAAAAACAAATCTTGGTTAAATTTGAGTAGAGGATTTAAAATAATAATTAAACCAATTGTTTCCTGAGTTTATTGGTCTATACAAAGGATGGAAATGTTGTATCGTTGGTCAATAACTCTAGACTTTTGCCCTGTACATTTATTAAAGGACAGATGTCCCATGCCATATAAAAATATTGCAAGGTAACTCTGCTCTGTGTGATGTGTTTTAAAATCATAGTTCAAAACAGGATTAAGGTCTGAGTCAAAAAGCTCTATCTAGGGTGCCTAGACTGTCAAATTTCTTAACAGTACTAGAAATGTTCTGCCTTGAGAAGGCTCTTCATGAGGCTGCTTCACCATGTCACCAGCAAACATTCTAAGTGAATGTTTTAACCTGGGCTGTTTAATTTTGACATGAAGTTACATATCACATCTCAGTAAGTTTTTAAGAGCCTGTACTCACTGAAAGGTGAATCTTCCTTCTCTCCCCTTTGTTCCCCAGACTGTCATCTTTCCACCTGCAGGTTAGAAAAGCACCAGTTATGAGAAAGGCAGGGAGAAGCACACAGAAGGGGTGATGGGGAAATAAAACTGTATCTTTTCACAGTGATTAACCAAATCTGCTGAAATTGTAATGTGTAAGTTCACACAAAGCCCTCACGGAAAGATGAAGATGATTAAATCAAACTACAATATCATGTCTATGAACTGGGCTGTGGCATGTAACATGATAATGAATGTTATCAACTGGCCAAACTATTACTCATTTGGTAATGAATGGTATTGTTAACAACTGGCCAAAGCATTAGTCAGTTATTCCTTGGTTTTCTATTGTAATGTTTATGGGAAACAACTTTGAAAATTCAAGGCCCAAACAGAGATCTGAGACTATGTGAACAAGTGACTAGGGAGTTTGATAGTGCTTTTGGAAGTTCAATCAGCTAGATGACAACAAAAAAATATTATATAAAAATTGTAGCCCAGACTTGGCCCTCTGAGATCAAAGACTAAAAACTGAGATAAGGACCTATGGTCATTAAGTTTTCTTCATACAAAGTCCAGTACTCTGCTGCACCATGAATAAATTATTGACAATACTGTGGGACATATGGCAAGAAAAATTTATTAGGAATATCCTCATGGGATGTTGAAATTTGTTTTGGGGCCTTTTGACACATCTGTTTTACAAAATTAGAAGTCATTATCATTAGTACTAAGTTGGTTAATAATAGTCCAATGCAGGATATTATTGCCAGCTGGCTGAACATGAGCCAGTGTGTGTGCCCAGGTAGCCAAGAAGGCCAAGTTGTATTTGTTAAATACTTTTGTCTCTAAAGTCAGATTATGATTCCCTTATGCTGAAGAGCATTTTCCCATTCAAAGTAGTCTTATTGATATCAATGTAATAGACAGTCATATCAGTATCTATGCAATTAGAGAACAGCATTATCCAAAGTTGCAAAGAGAATAAATATTATAAAATAATCGTGCATGCTTTTTCAACAAGTGATCTTCTCAATATAAAAATCAGGCTATATTGCTCCAATCTGACTAGTAGCAGAAAAATCAAAATCCTATGCCAAATCCCCATTAAATCAATTTAATGACTGAGGAAAAGATGACACCAAGTTATTTTCTGGTGTTTTTTTTTTTTGAAACACACTTAAGTTTGTGGGATTTTTTATAATTGAGAAGAAATCCCTAAGAAGCTATATTTAAGCCTCAGCTGTATTTTCAGAGTATGCTATGCTAAGTGTGTGAGAAAAAACATTCTAATAGACATTTTAGAAGACTTAAGGTTGGATTTTGCTGTAATTTACAATGTACCTATGTGAATTATGCATAATTATTAACATCTGAAAGAAATTATTCTATACGGCCTAAAATCTTGTTTCTCTTCTTTCTTCAGCTATTATTGTGTACAGATTGCCCTGGACCTGGAAGTGCAGCAAACTCCTAATGAAGTTCATACATGCTGGATTAAATACTACAGCTATGATTCTTGCAATCGTTTCTATGGTAGCCGTGTTTGATTTCCACAATGCCAAGAACATTCCTAACATGTACAGTCTGCACAGCTGGATTGGGCTGGCTGCTGTTATATTTTATTCTCTGCAGGTCAGAATCTAACTGTATTTATAAACAGGTTGTAGATTTGAATAATGTTTTTAGTAATTCAGGCAAAATAGGCTCTTGCTAGTACACCATAACTACTGGGATAGCCCTTTGACACTCTGATTTGGCAAATTATTATGTAAATGTACAAATACTGGATCACTGACTTTGAAGAGAAATGCATTTTTAAGCCTATTTTGTTTATTTGCTGGCAAAATGGCCATTAGCCTACAATACAGTTATAGTGTAGTGTGTTTCTAAGCCCTATTAACTCCTGAACTTACAGCAAGTTACTTGGTTTGTTGGCAGCATATTTAAATACAGTTAAAGCCTTTATTAAGGAAGTCTCAAATGAAGAAACAAGTCGTTTTTTGGGGGGTTTTTTGTTTTTGTTTTTGTTTTTCAGCTATCATAAATTTAAATAGTGATTTCTTGGCTTCAAGACTTTTCTAATCAGCAAAACAAGTGCATCAGGGAGCAGCAGAGATGTAAAGGATCTGATGCCTGAATGAGCTATTACTGGCTAACCAGTTTTCCTGAATCAGCAGAACTTTGATAGATGCTTGTGGGCATGCTTCTAACTGCTCCTCTTGGCAGAGAATTAGCATTATTGTAATGTAAAATGAGCTAACTTAATGTGTTTTGCATTTGACAAAGAAGAGCAACCGTGCCCTGAAATTTACAGAACACATCCAGATGCTTTGCATATACATTCTGAACTCCCTATACTGTTATTACACTATGGAAATTTATTTTGCTCCTTCAAATATTTTTTCCCAAAACACTAAAAAGAAAAAAAAGACTTAATTATCTATGATCAAGCACAAAAAAGCCTCAGCTAAGGTATTTGGGTTCTGGAGTTTATTCTTCACTGCTCAGGCCAAGAGGTACAGGAAATAGTGTTGAAATAGTGTTTTTAATATTTATAAAAAAGGAAAGCATGTTGCAGCATTGTTGAGTATATTCTCTACAGCTGAATAAATAAATAAGAATGAATATGAATGAATAAGAAAAAACGTTAAAAGTAAGTTTGTCCTAATAATGCAACTATTTCAAGGAAGTCTGTGCTGCCACATCACTGAGTATCAGTATTTTTTCTAATGGTTAAATGAAGAATTGTGACTAAAATCTTAGTTCTACTTTTCATTTTGCTACTATAAACATGATCAATGGCACTTAATGCCTCGCCTGTCACATCAAAAGATTCTCGGTGTTCCTTCCTCCAATCTGGGATGTAAATCTCCAGTCAGAGACTGATGTTTCTTGAGCAACTGAGCACTATAAAGAATAGTCATAAAGCAGTATCTTTGTTAACAGAGAAATCACTTGGCACTTACCAGAAGGGACATGTCAGTTGTATGCTCACATAATACTCTCCCTGCCTTTTGAATTTGAAATATTGCAACTATATTGTAATTAGCCAAATGTAAGTTAATACAGTATAGTACACTGACATAAATTTAAGAATAGGGCAAAAATGTAGAAAAGTAAAAACCAACAAACCCAAAGAAATTCTGGAAAAGTAATTTGTGGGCTGGAAAAGCTATTTTCCATTGCAAGACTTTAAAAACTCCAGCTGTTTAGCAGATCTAAGATTAAGAGATGATTTGATTATGGTGTACTAAAAAGCTTCCAAGGGAGAAAATATCAGGCTCTCTAATCCATTATGGAAAGATAAAACAAGGACTGAGTTAAAGCAGGATGAAATACAAATTCATGCACTGGGCCTAATTTAGCAGCAGGGGTGAGTAACAGTAAAACAAACTAAAGAAGGGCTGCAACCTCAGAATGACTGGGCAAGCCTGTGGATGCAACCATGGGACATGATAGGTTATTTTCCATCACAAAATTAGTGCTAATAGGAGGACTAATGACCCTGAACAACTTGATGCCACCCATACATGTCTTCACTCTGTAAATGCCATGTGATCAATATATTGAGAGTCCATTCCTCTTCTAAAGATAGGCACTTAAAAATAACTGAAATTCTAACAAGATAAAATTATTTAATCCACTCAAGTCAGAAGGTTAGACTGTCTTTTGATGTTCCTTTATGTGCAAATCTGCAACAGAAGCAGATAACAGGACTTGACAAGACTGTAATAGTGTGGCTTCTCACACCTTTATTATATTAGTGAATTAGTGACACTGAAGTTTGAGCACTATCAGTAAGTTTAGACACTGATACCACATAGGATGCTTTATAAAATATTTAATGTCTGCTTCCCAAGTCCTAATCCAGAATTTTGCTTTGATTTTGATAGGAAACATTCAAAAATAGAAATGCCAATTATTTTCAGATTTTTACCTGAAGACATAATAGAATGGAATTTTATAATTATTTTTGTCTGCTTGAGAAGTGCAGCTTGTTTTGCATGTAGCCCTAACTATGAATCTGTTTTGGTTTAGCTGTTCTTGGGTTTCGCTGTCTTTCTGCTCCCGTTTGCTCCAGTTCGTCTCCGCGCAGCTCTCATGCCAATACACGTTTATTCAGGTCTCACCATCTTTGCAACAGTGATTGCAACAGCCCTCATGGGAATCACAGAAAAGCTTATATTTGCTTTGTAAGTATTTGTTTCCACTTGTTTATTAAGGTTATTCATTGCAAATACACTTCCATTTGCCCAGAATAATAAGCATCCAGTACTGGGACACTTGTTTTGTTTGTATTAAAAGACCTACCTAGCTGGAGCCTGCTGTTTTTATACCAGGATTGTCTTTAAAACAATCTTTTCTGACCTCTTCTTTCTTTTTCCCCTTTCAAAGGAGAAATCCTGCATACAGTGAATCCCCACCAGAAGCAACTTTGGTCAACTGCCTTGGTCTTTTGCTTGTCATATTTGGTTCACTTATTTTGTGGATGGCAAGCAGGCCCCATTGGAAGCGGCCCCTAGCAGAGAATGCAAAAATTCTGAGCCCCATTGGAGCAACTCCTGAAGGCACAGAAGCAGAATCCACAATGACAAACAGTAGTAATGCAGATAAATCTGATCTGAGGAGCAATACTGAAGCAGCCAGAAAACAAAACATAAAATTTGATGAAGCAGGACAAAGATCCACTATGTAAAGAAAATACACAGAATAGAAGTACTATTATACCTCCAAATTCCCCCTGGTGAGGGTCATTCTAATGTAGTTATATTGATACAAAAGTAGGTTGGGGGTTCATTTTCAGTATGGCTTGCTGAAAGATACTCAAGTTTTCTGCATATGTATTTAAATTCCTGTAAGTCCCAAGCATATTTTATTGGTCCATGACTAGTCCATGCCTTGTTTAAAAAAACAAGAGCATGAATGATATCACATAATTGGAAACTCGTACATATCACTTCTTAATTTAATGCTTATATCTCTTATAGTCATGAAAAATTTAACAAGATTCCAACTAAATTTTGCTCTTGAGTGCTTTTGCAAGTTATGAATCAGCCATGAAGTATACCATACAGAATAATTTAGTTTGTCACACATACATTTCCTGGTAATGTTCACTTTTTTTAAAGCTCTGATTTCTCTAGCTGATTAACCCCCTGACTGGCTGCTATGTTCTATGGGATTTGAGATCATTCTGCACTTTACAGAGTTGCTTCATAAAAATGTTTATTCTAAAATTTTTATTAAAAAAAAGAGAAAAGTTTGCTAGATATCTTCATAAAATGTTATATTTCCTTTAGAAACTTCTGGGGGTTTCTGGTGTTGTTTTTTTTAAAATCAGAATGTATCTGTTGACCTTTCAGTATACCAGATATACTGTAGGCAGACAATATTTGGCTTTGAATTATGTGCAATTGTTAGTGTAATCTAAGAACTGTTAAAGACATCCAAATGCAGAATTTATCTTATTTGAAAAGCAATAGAAACACACTTAGAAAAATATATCACTTAAACTAAGTCTTCCTTTTATCCCAAAAGGCAGCATTTAATATCTTTATTTGATTGCACAGTTCTGTTGATTTATGGTACCAGACTAGAAATTAGGAGGTTAGAAACCAAAAAATCTGCTATCAGTCTCACAGAAAAAAAAATTAACTTCAAGTGAGAAATACCTTCTCTGAGACACAGGTGAGCTTTGCTGTTTTAATAAAATGGTACCTGTTAACTGAAAGCCAGTTTGGGCATCTCCACACTGACATCAAAAGCATTATTATCACAGGCATAAAGGCATGCTTTAGTCTGTAAGCAATCTATACAAACTATGACTTTTTAATTTGAAATTACAGTTTTAAAGAATGCAATTTTCTCTAAAAATGAGGAGTCCCTACTGGCACTTTACTTTTATAGCTCTTTCTAGTAATTGAAGTATTAATGTGTTATGCTCATTCAGTAATTTCACAGATACAAACAATATGGAAGAATAATTATAGTAGATTATTTGGACTTCACATGTCCAAAATGATGAGCCATTCTATTATCTCTTGTAAAAGCTGCAGAGCCCACTACAAATACAAATTTACCACTGTTCATGCTGGAATATAGATAGCTGTAGACAGCAAATAATTTCCTATTTTTTAAATACTACATAAATTTTTATCTACTCCAGCTTTTAAAAACATTTTAATACAATACTCTTCAACAAATATGCCATTTTTATAGTTTACTGTGTGTTAGTACAAACTATTTTGGACATTTGAGTTATTTTGGGTCTTCTCTGACAAGAAGTGCCTCAGTTCCTGGTCTTTGATTTTTAATAATATTTTATTATTTGGGGAATGCAATATAGAAAGCTAGCATAATAAAATATTTTAAAAACTTTTCTGCTGCACCATTTGGTACTCAAGGACCACATCCCAGAGTTCTATGGTTTCAATTATATGTTTGTGGGTGACTGGGACCAGCCTCACATTGGTGTATTTTTCCACTGTAGAAAATACCTGCTTTTAATGTACAATTCAGATATGACAGAAGCAACACTAACCTAAACTGCTAAACTAATGTGTGAGCACTTCTCCAGTCCCACAATGTGCAATGAATCAAACAGTGAAGCATGACAGAGGAAGTGAATAAATGAGCTCACTTGCAGTAATTTACTATGCAGCTTTCTATACTGCACTCACACAGGCAACGGCATTTTAAATTGTTATGTATTGCCTGTTACTGTGCCTCATCCACCTGTGAAAATGAGCTCACTCAATCCTTGCATAGTACTAGGTCACATAATAAAAGTATATGTTTGTATGGAAGGTAGTCAGTTGCCTAGGGATTGTTCTGGAAGAAAGTAACTGTACAGTGTACTGGAAAAAACACAGAATCTGTGACTTCTTTTGTTACAGCACTGAGTTGGATGTATTGAAATGAACAGCTTTTAGGTGCTTGCTTCTGTATGCTGTTAAATAAGCAGCATGTCTTCTGGTTTCCATTGTATTCCAGGTACTGTTCAAGGGGAGTGCTACTTGAAAAAAGAATGGTGGCATTTCTTTACTTCTCTATTCTCATCAAGTGCAAGGTACAAGTAACACCAAGGTTGTGGGGTCAAACCCCAACTGGGCCATTTCCCTAAGGGCTGGACTCGATGATCCTTCTGGGTCCCTTCCAATTGCAGCCATTCTGTGATTCTGTGATATCAAACTAACTGAAAAACAAGGATTAGCAACCTTTTGAGGGGAGCCTCCCAGAACATAATTTTGGTTTTCAACTTAGAGGTTAAACATGATAGTAGGAACTCAATGGAAGCTGGAAGACTGCATTTGGGGAATTGATAATCAGTGATCTCTCATGTGCATTGTGGCTGATCTTTGGGAGGTCCACATGAGATGCAGTAGCTGTGAGCTCCTAAACCTTGATCAACCTTGGTGTGTGCAATTTAAAACTGACAAAACATACTATAGACTTCTGGCTTAATTCTAAATTGATTTAAAAGGCCTCTAAGTATCCTTGCAAAAAAATGAGGTTAGTTCAATGCTAAATAAAAATGCATCAGTACTATGCACAGGAATTACTCTTTGGAGACTAATAGTCCTAAACCTGCTCCTCAAAGTGGCCTTCCATTACCTTTCCTTTCATGAAAACTTTCTTACCTGTATTTATGAGTTATATAAATACAGTAGCAACATAGGAAATGAAAATGTATTTTCAGAGATACAAATGGAAGGTAGAACTCTAACTTTACCATGGGTATTTTTCTGCATGTTTGGAAATCATCTACATGGTTGTTTTTACAGGACTGTGATTGTAGAGCTTACATTCCAGGTTTGGATTCCTATTAAAAAACAGGAAGTTACAAAACCTGACATTGAAAGTGCTATCTTTTTCAGTTGCCTGAGAAAAAAAATACTATATGTACATGCTGTCATACAGTACTATGCACAGAAGCAGAAGAGTGTTTTTTCTAACATTAAGGAACTGAGAAATGATGGTGCAAATTGGATTCTAAAATTGAATGTAATGACATGTATACATCTTACTACACGTAGCCAAGAATATTGCATATGATAATGTAAATATGGATTAATTGTTTACATGGATATTTTATTGAGTGACTAAGAGATATTGCCAAATATTTTCTATTTCAGAAGTCTCTTTTGCTTTTACTTCAGAACATTCCTTCCTCTGTTTTTAACTGTCCACAAGAACCTAAAAATTTATTTTATTATCCAAAATACTTATTTGTAGATGAGAGCAAATATTTAATTATAATGTCTGTTTTCCTTATTCTTTTTTACATATTAATAAAAGTGACTTTTTGAGCTTGTGATACTACTGAGTACAGATTTTTATTATGGTACTAAAAGACAACTTTCTAAATTTGGATAAAGATCAAATTATTTGTAATTTACTTTTTGAAAATGGAAGGATGGTTGTACAAAGTTTCTTACATATGTCTTAATTTCAACTATTTATGGTGATCTTTATGATGAAATTTATGTATTCTGTTGTCTTAGAAACATAGTATTTAACAGAAAGTGAAAGAATTCACTGTATAAACAATTAGTATTTCACCTTCTAATCATAACAGAATTTCCTCACAGCAGTTGTTAGAGGGAGGTAAAAAACAAACCAAAACTATCCTGTCCTGAGAATGCAATTGGGAAGATCAAGAATTCTGATACATAATGGTAACATAATGCACTGTAAGACTGAAATGCCTTCAGATAAGTAACAGCCAGACTAAGCACAGACCCCATGGAACCTTACACAATTCAACATCCACATATCAAGTTACTCATAAATAGGTTAATGATCATTAAATGCTATGAAAGTAAAATCATCTGTATGAACATATTGGTAACAAATAAGAATTAAGGTATTCTTCAGTTTAATAAGTTTAATTGGAAATTCTGAAAGCATACAGCATAAATTAGTTGTGAATACCATAAGCTGTTGGCTAAAATTTTCCAACATTTTCATCATCATGAATTAAAAAACATACTATTATAAACATCAACATAGCAGAAAACCTGCTGTATTCAAACCTGACAATTCCCTGTTGCTGAGAACTTCCCTTAACTTGTCTGTAGGCTGGATGTGTTGGGGAAAATTCTGGTAAGATAGTCCATGTTTTTAAAATATGGTGATTATTTAAAAATTCAGTAAAAGCCCAATTGTATTTAAAATTGAAAGAGGGAACTCAAATTTTGGTAGGAAGACTACATTTGTGTGGAGAATTTTTTTTTTAAGTAGTGGAGGGAACCTTTGTAATTTACGATACAGATATTTGCATTGTGTTATGGTATGAGCAACACTTGTGACCTCTTTAAGACTAGTGGGCAGTAATGAGGGGTAAACTATTAATCAGGTAGAAATTCAAGTCCAGGTGAACAAAACGGATGACAACTATTCCAGGCAATTCAGCTAAGAGAAGTAATGTTGAGAAAATCTAGTTACTACTATATGAAAACCATAAATCTAAAAAAATGACAGGACCCCAGTGAATTTTTACAAAAGAAGCAGAAACAATGGGTATAAATTTCAACAGGCTCAGTTATGCTCACCAAATGTACTCACCATAGAGCTTCAGCCAACATATGTTAGCATGGGGCTTGAGTTTACAGCTGACTCCGTGCCACTTACACTGACTACTCATTGGCTCTCAATTCCATTATTTTGCTGGTCACCAGGTCATGTCATAGTCGCAAATGCAGCTGTCAGATAAAAGTTTTGAAAATGTTTGCAATTTGTAGTTCAATTCTCACAAGCTTTTCATTTAACAAAATAAAAAACTCCACTGAGTAGTACTCAAATTCTGCAGGATACAATCAAATATTAGTGTGATTAATAGTGTGATGGTTTGTTTTTGTGGCAGATGATCCTGCTCACATGTGTATACAAGCAGTAATCCACTAGGTGGCAAGCACTACCAAAACGGCCTTTGGCAGATGCTAGACCAGCCCTACTTTTAGGTGATGAGGATTGCAACTCCACAGAGTCACTTCACTTTGAAAAAAAAAGGTATTTTTAAGAATTGCTTCCAGAGTTTTTAGCTGTCTTCAGGGACAGGAGAGTTCCCTGTTACTCCAGTCTCTGACTGCACTTGTACTCCATGTGTACCTGCTTTTAGAATGAAGTCCAATATTCTGGCACAGAATCACACAGAGTGGTTCTTTTGATTCCTTCCTTTGTAAGCCTATGTCAGCCATCATGGAGTCTGGTGTACTCTGAATCTCCTTTTATTTTCAACTGTAATTCAGGTACTAACTATAAGAAACTATCAAGGAATCTACACATGGTTTGAGCTCATCACAGCAATGCCTTGGTCTTCCTAAGTGAAGAGGTGACTACAATCCTGTGAGAATTCAGACATTTCTGCACATTTTCCTACAAATTGTATTATTTGGCACTTTCTAACATGATGCTTTCCAAGCCACTGAGGTACATGTGCTCCATTCACTAATTAACATTTCCTTCTTATTCCGAACTCCTTTCTCCAGTTCTTCTGAGGACATTTTACTTTTTACAGTACCTCCTAATGCCTTAAAGGACTCATTTCCTCTGAAGTTAGCTCTTGTGGAATGTAATAAATGGTTACAAGGACATTTTGTACATCAGCCCAATAAGTACAAATTGAAATTATATTGCAAACCCTAGTATCAGTTTTATTACACTGTCACCATGTTTATGATAGTTATTTTTATTATACTTAGTGTTCCTTTGCCTATCTCTAAACATTTAAACATTTCTAAGCAAATAATAACAGTAATAAAAAATACCTTGGGGTTTTGATCTAAAACTTTGAATTTTCAATTAAAAGTATTTTTGAGGCTTTAGAGCCAGTCTGTAGATAAAATACATAAAATTAATTCCACCAGCTACATCCAACGATTTTTGGTTACTTTGTAATTTCAAGTCTGCCTCATTTTGAGAGGAGACAGCTTGTGTAGCCTCTATGTAAAACACTAGGAAAAGAAGAAACTACAATTTGTTCTCTTTATAGATTTGTTTATTCAGAAAGAAGCTTTGAAATAAAAGGCTTTGAAAGACTGGCTGAATAATGAGTTGTCATTCTTTGAAGCCATATTATCTTTAAAAATACAAGGAAACCTGAGGGTTTCTAATGAGTAGAATCCTTTATTTTTGAAAGAAAATAAATGGAAGAGTTTGAAAAGATTTTTTTTTTTCTTGTAGTTTTTTTCCTCCTCCTGGAGCTGCCTGTTGCTCTTATGTGGAAGCTTCCTGCTGATCTGACTTTTTATTCTGCTGTGAGACTGATGCCAAGATTTACAATTGCTGTGATAGGAACTGGATTTAGCGTAAGGAAGATAACTGCTTTTCCCCTAGGGAGAGGCAGAAAAGGGAAAGACAGAGTGGGGCACACAGACAACAATATCTGAAGCTATATTCTTGGTCAATTATTTTATTCATCCTCTCTTTTAGATTATGCTCCAATTCATAAAAGGCAAGAAAGCTACTGCTCTCAAGGCAGGAACACAGATAAGCAAGGAAACTATTTGTGGTTTCATGCAAATGTCCAACTATAATAGAAGCAATGTACTGTTTTTATATAGAAGTGACACGGTGCCCCTTGTAAGGAAAGTGTAATTAACAAAAACTCTCATCAGAATCTGTCAGGCAGAGATTTGCCTTCTACACAGTGTCCTTCAGCAGAGAGAAAAGGGTGAGTGTAGAACTGTGCATCATTACAATTATTGTAGCAATTCATTGTCTGTATAGCCTTTTGCACATTCTACAGTTTTTAATTACCTTCTCTAGACATTTAAACAGGGAAAGATTTTTGCTTATAAGGCAGACTTGTGCAACTTGAAATCATTTACAGCCACTTGGCAGACAGTTGTCTTCTGTTAACCCACAGTGCCCACAGAAAATGCAATTTTTTGAAATACTGGAAAAAGTTTGCATCAAAATGCAGGGAATTTCCCAAGGAAGGCAAGACTCCACTCTAAAAGCAAGGGGGCAAAATGTAAAACCCTAAACTAAGTCTCAATTTGCCATGATTTGCAAAGAAAATAAATTCTTCTCGTATCCACCTGAAGCTAAAATTATGAATACTTCTTTGTTGCTTGAAATAAGGAAAAATCTCATCTAGAAAGTGAGCTTAACATTCTGCAAGTCAATATGGTTTATGCATTGTTATCATACACATGCAGCCATTTATTACAGAATAAACAAAATGAAAAATCTTTTATGTTTTACTAGGTCAAGAAGCACTAGTAGAGACTTGCTTCAATTCATTGCAGTGTCACTTGAAGTCTAGCTTTCATGAACATGAAGCTTCCTTTCTGGATATACAACCAAATCACATTGAATTTGATGACAGAGAGCTCATCCAATTAGCTTTCATTGACTTTAATATATGCTTCTGTTTCTCAGCTGTTGTCAGTTTTACAACAGTATATTTTATTCAAGGTTGGCAAAAAGCATTTAACCATATCTTAACTGGACTTGGCTGCACAGTTCTGGCTGCTGGCAGATTCTACTAAAATCTCTTGACTCTTCAGGATAGTTTGTGTATGATAAACCCTAATCCTATTATAAACTCTAATCTTTATGCAGCTGTACACAGGATCAAATCAAAATCAAGTTAAGAAAGCTTGCAGAATGAATCAGTGAACGGTGTTTAAGACAGAACTGAGTTTCTAAAGGAAAGTTTAAAATGTGTCACAGGTTTCCTGATGGTGTGAGAACTCTAACATACTGTAGTTAGCCTTCCATCTGAACGTGTGGCAGGAGATATAGAAAACACAAAGTTTAAAAAATCCAGTAAAATTGTGAAGTCTTTTGTAGTATTGATTCTACAGATCACATTACCTCTCGAGTTCAGAGCCATAATCTCATGTGCAATCTTTTTCCAAACAAAACAGGCATCCTAGTAAAAGACAGTTGTGTGGTCTAGCACAATGTTCTAGAAGGTGTTTGAGATATATGCAATACATGTGGGATGTTCCTGCATCAATATATTCTAGCATCACGGTTTTGCACACCCTTCAGTACAAAATCAGTTCTAATTTATACCCCACACCTTTATTCAGCAGTCTCAGAAGCTTCATCCTGCACACTTCCCCAGTGTCCTGCCACCTAGTTTTGCACACCTAGCTGTCTTTCTGCTTTTTGCTTGGCACAGTCTCTTTTCACTTCAAGCTAAGTACAGAATAAAATATTTCTCTTTAAACTCGTATCCTCTCTCTTTTTCTGTGGTTAGCCTACACACTTGGTAGCCTTCTGTTTACCTTTCAAGCTATTTCAGAACATAACATTTTTGCTCTAATTTTAGAACTTTAATCAGAACTTCTTTCTTGCATTCACATGCAAAACAACAGCAAAACATCACTGTGCCTTTAAAAACTCAGAACATCAAGGTTTGATCAGTATTCTGAAAGAAATCCTTTAAGAATGGAAATCTGGGGAACACTTACTTTTGAGCACTACAGTACAGAGCAGAGATCTTTGGCATACTGATGACAGAATCTGCAGAGACCCTTTCAGCTCTCTGGGGAGTCCTACGAATTTGAGATGCAGCAGTCCATGGTTCAATTACTTGCTGGAATGGATTCTCCACAAGTAGGGATAATCCTTCATTTGATGCTTACTCGCTTGGACACATTTCTCTATTCCATACTGGCCATTCCAGGCATTGCAATGCTTATTTTTTCTTCCCAGAATGTGTTTCTGCATTAGCTGATATTATTACACTTATTTGGATGAAATGGCACTTTTCTTTTATGAACTTCTCATTAGTTTAAAATAACTTTTCAAAGCAATTATCTCTAGACCAATATTTTCCATGCTTGTTCTCAGACTGTCACATTTTTTTCTGTTTTTTGTTTGAAGAGAACCACTCAGTAGTTTGTGAGGATCAGACTTTCAAGTACATAAAGATACAGCTGGTTTCATTAAATACTTATCAAATGCAGTAGTTCCTTGTTTTTATTATTTTTAAAATCTTTTCCCTCCTAATTATAATATCCCCTCAAACACCATTTTTAATTTTTTTCTGTTTTGAAATTTCTCCTGAAGTTTATCTTCTCTCTGGTTTTGTAACAACTTTAAGGTATTTAGACCATCTTTTGTCTGGACTCAGTATCTGAATTTAATAAATAAAATTAATAACAACCTCAACATCTTTACTGTAGGAACTATGCATATGGTAACATGCATACTATATGAAGTATTGCTATGTTACCTACATTACATAATTTTCGTTTATGGAAAAATTGTAATAATAAATATGCTGTCTCATATCTAGGTAAAATACAGCTTAATCACAAATTACAAAACACAAAATAGATGTTAATGCTGTAATTTTTAAATCTATAAAAGCAGTATAAGTACCTAAGATTTCAGAAGAATATGTTCTAGGTAAATAGAGCACAGTGAAGAACACATGTTATGACCTCAAGGTGACACAGATAAATCTACACTTCACAACAATGCAGTTTAAGGAAACAGCTCATGGCACCTGAATGACAGCAGATGAACATGGCAGAAATGGAGAAATTTGCTTTATGCAAATCTTACCTGTACCACCTGCCAGCTTGTGTCATGCACTCTTCAGCCACCACTGGATCTCCTATGAACAATGAAATATTCAAAATTAATACAGATCAGAACAAGCCAGTGTTTTTACACTAAATACTGTTTAATATTCGTTAATAATTATATTTTTTGTATCTACTATTAATGAACTTTATTTGTTTAAGAAAATTCTAAAAGTATTTTCAACATTTTCTTAGCAGACACTAAATCAGAATTTCTATTTGCTACAATATCACTTGAAAAGTCTATATAAAATTAATTTTAATCCATGTCCTGACAGAGCAATTTCTCATTGCTCAAATTCCTAGTACCAGCACTGTTCTTCACAGTGCAGAAACAATCCAAAACACCCAAAGTCACATCAGCATTCTATTGAGTCCCACATGCCCTAGCAAATAGAACAAGGTGGTTTGACAATCACAGATACTGCTTAATCCTTCTGGATAAATAAAAGCCAGAAAATTTAAGCATCTTACTTCATTTTGCACAACATTGTGAGATTTATTTTAACAAAATGAACTCTAAGGCCTAATTGATTGGTTTCCATCTGTAATTGAGAGAAAGATTTTCAAAGGCATGAAAGCCTATTAAGAGCATTTAATTGATTTTTTGAAAGAGCTGGGGTCTTGATGCAGCATTTACTGCAGTCAGCACTGAAATTTCCATTGATTTAAATAAGAACAGGTTCATACCTGCAGACACCTAGCTGCCATTTATGCATTTCACAATAGCCCCTCCATAGCTAGAGATTTCTTCCCTTTGTTTTTGTAAAAATAATCTACACACTTTTTTACATACACTCAGTACAAATTACTTTATATTAAAAGAATAAAAAAGTCACCTTTCCAAAGGTAATGAAAATTTTAACACTGAAGAGTGAACACAGTGCAACTGCCATTCAGTTTTATGATGCCTCTCTTCACTGAAGTCAATGGCATTATTTATGAGTAAAACAGCCAAAATGCTGAATATGTAGTTACTAGGTACTAAGAAGATTACTCAAACAAGTTTGAGTAATTATACATAGAACTGTGGTGTTACTGCTGCAACGTGAGGGAAATGTTATGAAATATTCAATTCACTGATTTTATTCTGGTTTATTTAGCAAAGAAATGCAACAGAATATTTTAAAGTATTCCTGTCAAAGAAATAAGGCTTTTCAGAGAATTGTGTCAGGGATATGTGCAAAGATCAAAAAGGGGTGGTGGTGTTAGCATTCCAAATTCATTTAGATGAAACAATAAGATAATTAGGTGTAAAAAATGCACATTCTTATGTTCAATGCAGTAAAGGATCAATTTCATCTAAAGGCAAGTGGAGTGTACACTATATCATCGGATCCAAAGGAGTGACCTTCTTGATTCAAATGCAAAGTGCCTGTGCCTATTGCAGATGGAATTTACCAGGACAAAATGTTCCACAGAAAGATTACATTTCCACTGGGGCAGAAAGGTATTTGTCAGTGTCTCATTACAGCTTTGATACAAACATCTTGGATTTCAATTAGCTTTGAGATAGAACAATAATCCAGCATTGAAACTACAGACAAACCTTTGTTTCTTTCTTCTTATATGTGGATTTTTGTTTCATTTGCAATAAGATATTGTAAGATTTCCAATAGAAATAAATAGAAGTAAATAACATTCCAGCCATTTTAGTGTCAGCAGTATCACTTAGTGACTGTCTGTGTGATAACTTTGCACTAGGAGGTGAGGGTGACATAATTTACATTTCTTCCAGCACAAATGAAAAGTGCTGAATTCTTTGAACCGTGAGTGTCCCATCAGTTCTCCCACCCTCACTGTCCCACCTCCTATTATTAACATGGCATATCCACTCTGATGCTTTTGATCCTTTTCTAGGAAAAGCAGTTTGCCTTCCCTGTGGAAATAAATATGAAATTTGCTTTAGTGCATATCAGGAGTTCAAACAATGGCCCATCAAAATTTCCACCCTATTGAGGTCTTATTTTAACTCCATAAATTTAGAGCTTGCCTTCACTTAAAATGCTTACTTTTAAATACTGTTTGATATTTAAGAAAACTTGGTTCTCCTGAACTGATCATGGGACTAAGAGAAGGAAGGGCAATTTTTAACCATTAACTGAATATCTGTGACTGATCCTGAGTTAACTCCTGTAAAACTCTGTACAGTGTTTGTCACCTTTACTTCACACCTGTGTCACAAGGGTAACTCTGTCAGCTTCTGAAATGTGGCAGGAAGAACAGCTCAGAAACCACATAGGTATGATTCAGTTGTTGATCTCCTTGTCAGGACAAAAGTTATGAACTATTCCATGCAGATATTATTTAAATAGCACTCCAAATTATATATGGTGCCTTCCACTCAAGAGGCTTCCTTTCAAATATCAAATCTCATAGCCTTAGCAGTAAGGAATATTGCTATTGAAATCAGGACACTTAATTTAACACACTGAGCAACTAAGACTAAGAGAAAATAAAGATATGTTTGTAACCTGGTAACCAGTGACACAAACTGTGTTACCCAGGGCAAAACACTGCTTTTCCTCCCCTGATATCAAGGTAAAAAGACAAGACTTAAGTCACTTGACCACACAATTCCAGAGCAAAGGCGAGAACTGGAGAAAAGTTCCTTTTAAGATTAATTTCTTAATGTACTAGCAGCAAGCTTTTTTGGCTCAGAGAAAGAAATGCTACAAAATGCTAGATTTATCAATAAACATAAAAATGAAACCCAGAAAATTATAAAATCTCATGGATCTGAATTTTTTTACTTCCTCTTGGACTCTTAATTGTTGTCATAGATATATCACAACAGCTGATCAGTACCTGTCTGTGGACATATATGATCAATTAAGCATATAGAACAGATGTTTTATATCACTCCTGAATTGCAGCCAGTTTTAGTATCACTAATAGTAAGGATTCTCTATTACTATAGTGAAATTAAAAATAATTTTTGTGATTAATGACATTATTGCTTGAATATCACACATTTCCACTGACTTCAAAACCAGCCATAAATACATTTTGCTCCTACAAACACCTCTGTAAATGTGTTGAGCTTGTTAGCATTAGAGGCATACACAATAGCAACAAAACTAATGCTGTTCATTTCTTGCCATATTGCAATAAAAAATTAAACAGATTAGACCATGCCTTGGATATGTAATAGAGAACAAAAACTACCAAATTATATGTGCAGATTTGTTCCAGAGGAATATATGTGTGCATATATATACATACATATCTATATGTGTGTGTGTGTTTGTGTGTGTGTGAACTTGTACACACCTCAGTCAGTGCCCATGTTTCCCATGACACCTGGTTTTTGAGAGTCAAGAAATCCAATTTTTTCTTCAATAAATGCTTTTAACCACAGGTGTCATCTCCACAGGGCTTGACAGATGTTAGAGTTCATCTTTCCATTGAGTCAAATCTTGCCATCTCCTTTCTGCTCAAGTGCTTTGTAAATGTGGAGCTTGGCTTCTGCTAGTAATAAATGCATTTTCAACTATCTATTGCCTTGCAATTTATGTTAAAAGTAAAGATTTAAGCTAAGAAGTAGGACATATTGTGAGAATAATTTTATATTAAAAAATTGATGCTTATGTCTTTGCTTCATAGTTTAGCTGCACTCTGAATTCATGTAATTTTTCAGGGGTTCTTCCAACACATTGGCAAGTTTCTTATGAAAGAACCAGAAAAGGAAAAAAAATTATTTCTATTTTTAGTAAAATGACTCCATGTCCCAGTCTTTACTGAATAGACCTTACTGATGCTGTGAGTCAGTGACTCATCTAAGCTCATAACAAAGTGAAAATGCTAAAATTTAACTGTTAGAGCTAACAGTTAGAATAGATAAAAAGTGCACACTTTGTCTCCTTATTTACCCTCTGATCTTTTTGGTTAGTAATGCTAACACAATCCATACAAAAGGAATCTGTTAGCATCCTAACAAATACTCAAATGTATTTTCCTCTTTTGATGAGTACACAAACTTCCATAAAGGTCAGTAGAGACAGGTGCACAAACTGAGGGCAGAACATAGCCTAGCATACAATACACCTGAAAATAGTTCCTTTGGGCTGATCTCTTGGCACTTCTCAAACTTTTTCATAAAACCACTTGAACTAGTGCAGGTTTTGGTGAATTACAGTATTCACTAAGAAGATCTCAGTATCTCCTGTCTTAATCACATAATAGAAAAAAATTAAGAGTACCATATCGGATCACACTGAGGAAGGAGAACTTGGAATTTTTCAGCTGGTAAACCGATTTTCTATAGTCCTTGGCAGGGAATCACCCTCAAGTGCTGACCATTCACTAGTGTATGTTTTGTGCTAAAGATTACCAGACTGCAAAAGGGTTCTTATGTCAGAAAGAAGCCATCATTCATCATCACCTTCTTTTGACACGACAGAAAATAAATATGGCCATCTATCAGGATGGGAAAGAGGGGTGAAACTCATACAAAATGTATGAAGGTTATTAAATTATCACAAGCCATCTAAACAACAGAGGGTTTTTCTAAACTTTTTGAGTTTCAGTATAAATCCTGACTCACATGGAACACTACAGGGGAGCAAATAATCAAGACTGATTTCTGCAGCAATTGAAGTTTTCCTAGCAGTTATCCCAGAAAAGTACCAACCAGCCTATTCAGTTTATTGTACCTAACAGGACTGCTACAAAGCCAGGCTGCAAATGAAGCCTTTTTCCAGGACTTGTCAGGACAAGTTTCAAAAATACACTTGCCAGGCATAACTACTTGTAGATCTAGTCATTGCAAATAAATTATTCCAATTCTGTAATAGCAGAAAAATTAACCTGCTCTGGGGTTATAGTCTCCAAACACTTCGTTTCACAGGGCGTTGTGAACAGCAATCTTCCCTACAACTCTGCTTTGGTAGGCACAGTTCTGGCAGATGAGCAGGCTGGGGGACCCTGCATTCCACTGAGACAGAAGCCAGCAGCACTGGCCCAGCAGTTACCAAAAACAGGTACAGGATTCTGATAGAGGTTTCCACT